GTATGATGCACGATCCTCGTAATAGAAAGCGCTATTTATGTAATAGCGAAAATCAGACCTGAAAAAAATCAGGCCTGTACAGGATTCGAACCACTGACCTCTGCGACTGACTAGTGCAGCGCTCTACCAAATGAGCTAACAAGCCAACAGGGAGCAGGCCGTTAAGTTGATTCGTAATAAACCCGTGATGATGAATCAGATACAATGATACACAGTCACATACATCATACACAGCTTTGATACCCAAAACAAAAAAAAACAAAAAAAACCCAGTCACCCTTTCTTTAGGGAAGTTGAGATGAGCCCTTAAGCCCACCAGCCCATGTTGCCACACTAAATCTAATGCAGCAGAGGATTGAAATTTCAAATCCAACACCCTAAACAACCGACTCAATCACATGCATCATGCACAGCTCAGTCACTACTGCCTGAGTTTATTTGGATTTTCCTGAGAGACTGATAGTATTGCTATTCCCCTAAGATGGTATGCTAGTCCATAGTAGGTTTTCCTCAGTTTTCTGAAACCATTTACATACTACTAGATGGAGAGGGGGTACTACCAAGTGGAACCTTTTGCCCCCGAGTCTATGCAGAGCCCTATAGTTTCTGACTACTGCAGCAACTTTAACAATCTGTGAATTAAGGACTGTGAAAAAAAGAAGAGGAGGAAGTAGGGAGTGTTGTGTTCTTTCAGTATAGCTTACATGACATATTTAGATGTACAAAGTTCACAGGATTGATTATTAAAGCATGGCAGAATAAATTTGGTGTGTTCATTGTGCAGCCTCAAAAATCCATTTAAGAATCCGTTTCAATACTCGATTACGCCACAACAAGGAAGATCACAGGTAATTGGATGAGTGTAAACCTTTCTAGGCCTTTGTTACAAGTAACTTAGTTATCAGTTAAAAGATTAATAACTAGTTATATTGTGAGACCTTACCCAGCTGCCACCTCTTTTGAAGCCTTAAGGTGGAGCATTTCTCTGTCAGTAAGGTTATTTTCTGTGGCTAGTGATTGAGCAACATCATAATCCTTTAAATGACCAGGTAGACAAAAAGATGCCAAAACATGACCCATAACTGTAGTGACAAGAAAAAGAATAAGGTGAAAATGGGAGTGATTTTTATGCATACCAACCAAATTCTCAAAATGAAGTTTTACATACATTGTCCATTTAACTGTTATTGATTGTTTTCATTGTTTTGTTTCTTTTATCTTATTGTCTTACGTTACAATTAACCTATTTTAACTCATCCATTTTCATCTATGGTGATTGACTGCAAAATATTTTACCTCAAGGTCAAACAAAATACAGTCAAACCTTGACTATCCAGACTCATTGGGACTAATGGGTAAATAGTCTGGATAATCGAGAGTATGAATATAATGAGACAATAATGTAAACAAAGAAATAAAGATGACACATTTTTAATTCTAAAAGTCTGCTTCAATGAATCTCAGAGCGCTCGATCTTTTGAAAGTGGAGGAGGTAATGCTCTATTCATTAATATTTATTTAAAAAAACAGAACCAGAGAAAAAGTTGGGATAATTGAAAAGTCCGCATAATCCAGGTCCAGACAATCAATGTTCAACTGTACCTACATACATTACTGTCTGAACTTCCTAAAAAAATAGTGAAAATACTTGGATTTCAGTTACATTATTACACGACTTGGGCAGTCAGAGGACCAATAACTAAAATCAACCAATCAAAATGCTCTATTGCCAGTCAATATTCTCTCAGTATTGGACCGGTCACTGTCCCGAATGATACCGCACTTGTGTCCCTTTGAACTTCAGTCGTATAATAAATCTCTTATTAACCAAGCTTGCTCGGGACCGTACTGGAAGAATATCGGCCCTCGGTCTTTTTTGTACGGACCTCGCTGCGCTCGGTCCGTACTGTCAAGACCTCGGGCCGATATTCTCCCAGTACGGCCCTCGCGCTTGGTTAATAAGATATATGTATTTT